AAATAAGACAAGGTAAGACAAGACGCGACACGACAAGCAAAGTCAAAAAAGACAAGGTAAGACAAGACGCGACACAAGCAAAGTCAAAAAAAGACAAGGTAAGACAAGACAAGACGCGACACAAGCAAAGTCAAAATAAGACAAGGTAAGACAAGACAAGACGCGACACAAGCAAAGTCAAAAAAAGACAAGGTAAGACAAGACAAGACGCGACACAAGCAAAGTCAAAAAAAGACAAGGTAAGACGACATGACACGCGGCACGACAAAGTCAAAATAAGACAAGACATGCGACACGACAAGCAACGTCAAAATAAGACAAGACAAGACATGCGACACGACAAAGTCAAAGCAAGACAAGACGAGACACGCGACACGACAAGCAAAGTCAAAATAAGACAACGCGACACAAGGCAAATCAAGACAAGACAAGGCAAGACACGACACGTCAAGGCAAAGTAAAGCAAAGCAAAGCAAGACAAGACAAATTAAGGAGACAAAGTAAAACAAGACAAGACAAGTCAAAGCAAGGCAAAGCAAGACAAGACCAGGCAAGTCCGAGAGGGGACGGCCGAATAGTCTCCCCTCCCCCCGGCCACAAACCATGCGAAGCACGTGTTTTTTCCTTGTTTGTTTACTTGCCGGGCGACGCGGTGGGCTGACATGCGAATGGTGGTTGTTATGGCGAGGAAATGTCTTCTGAAATGCTCCCGCAATCTACACGCCCCTATTCTCTTGGAGGATGGGAGGAACCACATCATCGGGAGGTCGAAGGAAACGAAAATACGAGACAAGAGATGCTCCAAGACTCAGGGTAAATGAAAAGTTGAGGCGAGTTGGGGCTCCTCCGGGTCCTCCCCCGGCCGCGGTTGCACCACTTTTATTGATAAAAGATAAATCGTGCCGCGGCATGTGAGGGGCGGCAACTGGTATATGAAGGAGTTTTTGGCTAGGTATTACCACTCTTTGGCTCTTACAGGACTTAAGGGAAGGGCGAGAGAGAAAAGTTCAAGTTGAGGTAAGTTAAGTGGAGAAAGGTTTGTGAGCTGTCACTCTCCCTCTGAATATATGAGAGAATGCAAGAAAGTGCATTGTAATGTAAATTTCCAGTGCGATTGGAATAATGCCAGTAGTCGTGTAAGTCAGTATCAATACTGATTTGTTACTGTATATATACAGTAACTATAACATGGACGTTTTTAGGGATAGTCAGTAAATGAATGATATCGCTTTTTAAAAATGGAACACAAACAAGAAATGTGATGCAAGTGACAATGCACTGAGCCCAGCCCAACCAGCCAGAGATATGGATTTTCATTCTGGAATATTAGCTTCAATATCTCAGTGCAATACATGTCTAATAAAATCCCAATTAAGTAATGACAAGGTGTGTCCCATTGCAGATTGGGTTAGAAGGAATATTTTGACAATGTGTGGTCTAAGCAGACAGTTTTGTTTTTATAAATCAGACTACAATATTGGAAAGTTTATGCTAGTCTGCTAGTTTCAGAAAATAATACAGTTATAGTTATACCTGAAAATGTAAAGATATGACTCTAAGATATTTGACATTTAGTTGATACAGTTATAATGCTAATGAATTCAGATTTTATTTTTAAGTTAGAGTTGACAAGAAAACAAAAAAATAAAAAGAATCATTGCCCACAAGCAGGCCTGCCCAGGAAATTTCCAGGCATAGTAGAAGCTGATAAGCATGTGGTGGATTAGATATTTTTTATTGTATTAAATTACAAAAGGATAGAGCAAACATTATCTTTGTGAAATACACCTGATTTCATTGTTTTTGTATTGATCTAGGGATTCATGTTGGTTGTGTGTACATGTTACACTACTTGCATTTTTCATTCACATTTTTTGGTCAATTTATAGAGGAAATTGCCACCACACACATATATATATATTTATACATTATATATGTATATATATATATATATATATATATATATATATATATATATATATATTTATTTATATATATTTTATTACATAATTATATATATATATATATATATATGTATGTATATATACCTATATACATATATATATATATATATATATATATATATATATATATATATATATGTCTTTGTATATGTCTATGTATATATGCGTATGTGTATGTATATGTATATGTATATGTGTATGTGTATGTGTATGTGTATGTGTATGTGTATGTGTATGTGTATGTATATGTATATGTATATGTATATGTATATGTATATGTATATGTATATGTATATGTATATGTATATGTATATGTATATGTATATGTATATGTATATTGTATGTTATGTTTATGTTATGTATATGTATATATATATAATATATATAATATATATGTATATGAATACATATGTATATACATACATATGTATATATGTATACATAAACATACATATCATATGTATATATATATATATATATACATATACATTTACATATATGTATATTATATATATATATGCATGCATATATATATG